TCACCCTCCCCTGAGGATATGTGAACAGATTCAATTTACTATGTGCATACATTTACTCTGGATATATGTGTTTTCAAAATATCTGAAGAATTATTGCTGTGAAAAAGTATAGAAACATCTCATTGGTCATGTCTATAGACAGGCACTTTTAGTACTTAATTAATTTTAGAAAATAGGCATTAGTTTATTCCCATTGCCAGTACAGATTCATTTTACATGTGGCCAAATCCATAGCACTTAATCTTGTCAACATGCAGCTATGCCTAAAAGCAATTCTTCTGGAATTCAAACAAGAATAAACACCTGTATTGCTTTCTGCTTTTCTTTTTTTTTAAATCAAGAATTATTTGCAGAGGAGGAAGAAAACAGGAAGAGAAAACAATCCTAGGTGATCTTTAGCACAAATAAATTCCTATTCTCTCTACAGTAAGAAAAGACATTAAAATTTGTTGTCTGTAGCAACTTAAAATGACTTCAGGAAGTTTTCAACCATTCTTACTAAACCATGATGCATGGCCACTCTGTTTTGACAGAAGATAGAGAACGTGTTCTGATAAGGTGGGACTGAATTCCTATGGCAATATCGCTAATCGTGTGTAACATACACAAGGCAAACCTGAATACGATTTTTTTTATTGTGATGAAAACTAGAAGCTCTTTCTCCCAACATACTTCATCAAACTATTTACAACCTTTGTAAAATCTGCATGTTTGAAAATATTTTTCCACTATCACATGTTATGAATACAGTAAAATATCTTCACTCTATTTTTAAAGATGCAGTATCCTTCTATATCATTTTATGAAAAAAATCTGAATTTCTATCGCAATTTCTTAGTATTTAGCATATTTAAAATACCAATGGACATGAGTCACTAAACAGACATTACTCTATAATGTAACTGTGAAAATATAGCATCTTTAATCTTTATGTACATTTCTTAGCTATAAAATGCAGGCAAAGTCATATTATAGTATTAGAAGCTGAATCCCTATAAGGTAAATAACTTACATTTCTAGAGGGTATGGATTATTACAAATTCTTTCCTTAAAAAAAGGGTCTGATGATATTTATTAGCCCAATGGCTACTGCATATACAGGTGTGTGCATATGTGTGCATGGGTTGGGTATGGATATCTGTCCAGGTAAGTGGAAGGCAGTGTGGGGAGAAGTAGAAATGTGACATGGAAGACATGATTTCCTAAATCCCTGTCCTAAACCAAATCGAATTAAGAACAAATTTATAATATACTATCGCTCAGAAAAAGTAAAAGAAGAGATTTGTCAATGATGATGGTTAATAGACTATATTTACCTGATAAGTTCACAGGTATTAGTGAGATCAAAGTCCAAGAGTGAATTGTGAACTATGAATATTAAGGCTTCCTGGGCCTGTTACGATTCTCCAGTCATCTCACATTCAGTCCCTTCTATGCAGACTGGGGCACAGATGCTGGTATTAACACTGCTTAAATTCTGTGAGTCCTTACTGTAGCTGCTAAGACAGCTTAAAAACAACACCACAACTACATTTCTAAGTATTCATAACAACATAACGAAAGTGTATTGATACAAGTTGAAGGCGTCACCTCATCAGATGATTCAAGTGCAGCTTTGGTAAGTACAGATAAATAAAGTACAGAATAAGGAATACTGCATCTTTATCCATATACATGTTATCAGGCTATTGAACTGATTTCAAAGTGCAGGATCATATTGACGTTTAAAACACAAATGGCAATTTGAACTTAAAACAAGATGCATACAAATGAACACAATCTTCATGTAAACTATTCCAAATCTCAACCGGAATGAAAGTAGCCCTTCTAATGATCTACAACTGGCATCTATAAACACAACAGCATTTTGTAAGACTTTTTCCCCCCAACAATTTATCTTCCTATTTCCCACTTTAATTTTAAAGTGAATAAAAAGTGCTCTCTCTTTTAATGTGGTTTGTTACTGATACTCAACTGTTTTTGAAAACAAAATGTCCTCTTATGTGTTTTGAAAAAGGCAGTGGTATAATCTTATGGTCAAGTCATTAAGAATCTCATTCTAAATGCCTTAATAGAACTTAAGACAAGTTATCAAGTAGAGACCATACCACTCACAACAGGAGGCTGAAAACAGAGGAGGAAGTATGAATCTTTTCAAACAAGATCAAAATATAAGGGACTCTACTAAAAACCTTCAAATAACATTAACTCCCTTTAATCAATCTATACAATGCAAAGAGAAAAGTCAAGCCTCTGGCAGCTACTTATATGTCACAGTTATGCATATGAGAATTCCCAACCATGCCATAACCTAGCTGTGAAACCAACCACTTCAAGGCTAAACCAAAAGAATGTTTCTAGTTAGGGAACAACTGAATCTATCCCTTTTCTGTAGTTTATCATTGCACTGTGCTTTTCAGAAGAAGCTAAAAAGACCCATGAGATGGAATAGTGGCTTTTCTATACCTAAAGATATTCCATTTCATTCTGTCTCAAATCACTTTCCTTTTACCTGAGGAAACACTTTTAGGAAATACTCTCATCAAGGAGAATTTGCGATGTCCCAACACAAGCCCCAAGTAAGTTTCGGTTGCTAGGGCTAGATCAGAGACTCATTCACTTACATGTGCTCGGCTCCCTTCTAACAGTATTGCCACATCAGGGAAATAGATAATGCTGACAGGATCGATTAGTTAACTTACCATCTTAGTGTGGTTCCCATTTCCGGAGGGTGGCGAGAACAGCTCACTTCCCCAAATCTTTCCTGTAATAGGGGGTGTGCCACCACATTTAGTTCTGTGCTAAACTTAAATACAGCTGTCACTCAGATCCTGTCAGTTCCATAAATTCTAAACACTGTTACCTACCTGCAGTGCTCTACTTTCAGTGGAGAAAAAGATTGGCTCTTCTTAAGAACAGGCAGAATAAACTAAACTCTATACCTGAGTGATTTCCCTCACTGGTTCTGGGGGCCATGTTTGGGAGTTCATAGCTATTCAGACTCTCTCTCGGTGTGTTCTTTCCACTGACTAGTAATCAGTACTGGCTGGCATACACAAGGACCCCCCCCCTTTTTTTTCCTATTCTGAATTGGTCACGTGCATTGAGACATCTAAGTTGTACACAGTACAGATAAAAAAAAAGTTCCAGTTGGTAAAAAAAAAAAAGCCTACTGGTTAATGGGTAGCAGATCATAGCTGAAGAAGCTATTTATCAATTAAACTACAGCCCTTGTTAAAGGGAAACTACCTGATGAGTTTTTCAGACCTGGCAGAAAAAAAAATAGACCACATACTTTTGTAGTTATAATTTGAGCTGAAATTCATTATACTGTTGCTTGAATACTTAAGTAAAATTTCTTTTTCTATTTTCTGACACACATCATCCTGGTTGCAATGTTCATAGTCCTTGATTCACCAGAGTAAGATTATCTGAATTAGATGATCCTAAAAAGGATAATTCTCTCAGCAGAAATTGCTTCTGAATGTTCAAACACCTTAAAAATGAGCTAGGAATATTTGTGAGGTTATTTTGTGCCGTTCTTCAAATCAAGTGTTTCTAATTAAAATACAATGCAAAGGTCATTGCTGGAGACCTTTTTTACCTAGCTATTAAAAAATCCTAACAACAACAATGAAAGTCTTACCTAGCCCCTTTGCCACATAAAGCTGGAGGAAAAAACCCCAGAAAACAGAAAACACAACCCAGCTTTCTGTGGATTAAAAAAAAAATAGATGATAATTTTCCCCAAAAGAACATTGGTGATGTATTGCTTTACTTACTGTATGTAGTCTTTGCTAGCTGTAAAAGGTTCCTAGTTTTAGGAGGTTAGATGGGACTCTACTTTGCTCTCATCCTAATTCCAGGATGAGAAAGGTTCACTATCCCTGCAGATGCCAATCCAGGACCAGGGAGTCCTGGTACAGTTTAGAAAATGAAATGTGTAAAAAAGATCCTATGGGAGAGTTGCTCTTCTTGGCTCTCCATGAGAGAAAACTAGCACCATGACAGGCTTTCTAGGGGCGGGCGCTGTCTTTCTATTGACTCAGGCCCACAGAGAACTAACCTGCTAGCCGAAGAGTTCATTCCCGGCTAAGCCTCCCTCATCCTTTCTAGTCACCAAATAATTGTAGAAAAGGGGAGTGTAATCTTTAATTGTGGTACCCAACCAAGCACAACAACCAACAGAAAGATTACCTCAGGGCTGGAAATGTAACCAAGACATCTAAAATGCTGGGGTACTTTTTTTTTTCCCCTCCCCTCTCTCCACCATTCCTTTAGTAAGTATAAAAACTGGTAACGTGAGTCCTCAGTAAAGTTATTGTAGAGAAGTCCTTTTATTCATTATTGCTTTTCTCCTTGAGAGGTGCATTATTTCCTCTGCTTTGTCTGATTTTTCATGTCCACTGACTTTGCCTTGGCAGCCCCACCTCTTACCTTGGTGCCAATGTGTCTAAGAAAGTCCCCCTAACCCCCCACTTCCTTGTAACCAGACACTAGGGGCAGGAAGAGATGATGCCTGGGTGACAGAACACTGCAGTTTGAAGTGGGGCAGTAGGTTTTTGTTTTTGTTTTTGACAGGCTCTTCCTATTCAACTACAGAACACCTCTGGGCCAATCCATGGCAGGGCAGAGACTTCAGGACTAGACTTCAACTGAAATTCTGCTGCCCCTCTGCTCAAACAGATGAACGAAACGACCAAAACAGAACAGAAAACACTCAAGGACAAACAAATGAAAGATTCAATGTTGGTTTTCTTCAGGGCATGGCATGATGACACGTTGCGGGTGGGATTCTAACGGCTGCCTTCACTACTGCAGAGGGCTGCTGAGTGTGCCTTTATTTTTCAGGTAATGGAAACTCTCCCACAGCTTCTTCCTTCCTATGTTCATGCTGTTTTGCTGGTAACAGATCGGATGTGTGTTCTAGCTCACTTAGGAACTAAAAGTTTTGTAGAAAGGGGCTCACGGGGGGGGGGGGGGGGGGGGGGGGGGGGGGGGGATGATGGGAAAATCATTCAGATCGATAGCTCTAGCTATCAATTTGTGGTAGCTGACCTAGAAGATATTGATAACCAAATGTCTGACAGCTCGGAAAATGTATAAGCTACAAACATCTGTCAATGGCAGAGGACAACAACTCGGAAAACAACTGCCTGGCTCTTCCGGAACGTGGGTAGCGCTGAGCTCTCAGGTCAGCGTGAAGAAGACGTCTCTTGCGTGGTCGTGATGGGGATTACCTTCAGTCGGAAAGGAGAAGTGGACGTTCTGGTTCCTGCTCTGGTGTCTGACATCGTGGGATGGTGATGTCCTTGGCGTTAACACTGTGAAGGGGATTCAGCCCTGCTGAATTGGATGCCACTAAGAGATCCAGCTCTTCCTCCCAGCTGGACGAGGGGCCTGCTTCACACGAGCATGTGCCTCCGGCGGTGCAAGGCCAGGTGATCGGACCGAGAAAAGCTGCGGTCACAGTCTGCACACTTGAATGGCTTCACTCCCGTGTGTTTGCGGTAATGCCTCGTCAGTTCATCTGAACGGGCAAACTTCCAGGTGCACCCTTCCCAGGTGCACTTGTAGGGTTTCTCTCCTGCAAGACACAAAAAGGACACAGCTTTGGTGCTCCACGACTTTTCCGTCACAACCCGGGCAAGCCTGGTGTGCTGGGGGAATTGTTGTTCTCAATGAGTTTTCCATTTGCCACATCTTTGGAAACCTTACCCATCCTACTGGCAAGGTTTGGGAGTCAGAGAGGTGAGGGGTTTCATTTCATCTTTCCTGCTCTGCTAGCCGGCAAGTGAATGAGCACTTGCATTCTCAGCTATGAAAAGCCAAAGTATCGAATGGAATATACTGATTTCCCTGGGTATAATCGTATAATCACCCCTAGTGGACAAAAAAAGAAGAAAAAAAAAAGAGCAATATTAGAACTCTACCCAGTCTGACCTGGCTCTAAGCCTGGAAGCTGTAAGAATCATAAAGGGGAATTAGTAATGGTTTGTTTCAACAAGTTCTTCTTCATATGCATCACTTGGATAGTTTCAGATGATTTGGGGACACAGGACCCATTTATCAGGCAGTGAAAGTATACAGACTTCTTCATGAAAACCCTCAGAAATTAGGAACCCAGAACTCATACACATCTTTCACTTTTCTGTTGAGCAATGAGTGTAGTACACGCCTTAGCAGTGTGAAGCAGAAGTACAGTTTTCAGGGTTTAAGAATTAGGAGGGGGAGCCTGAGGAGTCCTGAAGCTAGATCAAATGTTCAAAGTCCCTGCAAAAAGAAGTCTGAAGAAGTATGTAATTTGACCAGGGCCCTTCAGTCAATTTGTAAGGACAGTAAAATATGCAAAGGCTGTGCTGGGAAAAGATACAGTAGCCATTGTCCTACAGACTCCCCAGGGATCCAGGACAATAGTTGACCCAAGTACAGTCTTTTCCTTGGTTTCCTTCAGAAAGGAAACCCTGTCCCCACACAACCCCACAAAAACTGGTCTCTCCTTCCATCCATTATATGCAGTGTGTGTCTTAAGGCCTGCGAGGGAGGGCCTTGGAGAAAAGGCAGGGGAGGGAGCTATTTGCTAATCCTTATGTGCCAGACTGCAAAGTTAAGTATTATTAACACCACTTTACAGATGAGAAGGCCAAGACTCAATGCAGCAAAGCAATGCACTGAAGACCAGTGAGAAGCTGTGTGTGGCTCTGAATCCAGTGCCTTTCACTATTCTGCAGAGGTCACAAACAATGTTTATACCCTATCTCAACTTGGTTGTGTCTTCAGAGAGAGAGATGACTCCTCTTTCTTGGGTAATCTCAAATTACTTTTTTTTCCAGTTCAGAAATTTTAATTAAAATGTCCAAAATGGTCTATATACATTTACTGAAATGTGAAGGGTATCTTTTTATCACATCTTATTTCTTTTAAATTACTATCAGAATATTCCACAAAGATTTTGTTTTGCTATCTTTCTCTTCTACCAATTGTTGGGTCTTTTGGGAGTTCATGGACCCTTTTTCTGCAATTTCTGTATCTTCAGAGCCTAGAACTGGTTCCAAGAAAGTATTTGGATAGATTAGTAGCACTGAGAATGTGTCCTATGTGAGTGCATACACACGTGTATACACAGGAAACTAAGTCCTACAAATGAGATATACAGGCAATGCCTACATGGGAAAACGAGACTAAAGTAGATTCATTCAACTATTAGATGAATGCTGTCTATAAGGATTTGTTAGGATCCAGTAGTCCTTTTGGAAGAGAGTGAATATGTAGTTTAGCCTATTACATCTAGAAAAATGGCTTCATTAGTTGAGGCTCCTAAGAAGCTCAGGTTACTCTAATAAGAATCCTTTTAGTAAAAGTCTACTGATGGAATAGACTCAAAATCTTAACTGGTTATTCAGTCTAACTGTTCCAAGGAGAGAAAACCAGCATTTCCATGTCTATTGATTATAGAATTTGACAGAAATCAAACAAAAACTCAGCAAACTTACAAGAATGGTGATCTATAATAGATCACATCAATGACAATTGTGTGCTTTTCAGCAGGTTAAATGCCATCTCTTTTTGGAATTTATATCATGAACACAGGTTCTGATATTAATCTTGATATAAAATCCAATCCTTCAAAAATATATCCATCTTTGGAAGCATTGAGCTCAATGTTTGGAACCAATATGAGGCTCTAAGCTAGGTCCTATGCTGTGGTACAATCAGCCAAGGGTGGCAAAGCTCCAGAAGGAAAGAATAAAGGATCTTCTTAATGGGAAATAAGCACTTCTCAACCATACAGAAGGAGATTGTGTTTTTATGTTTCCAGGAAGTAGCATATGGTATTAGAACCTGCTCTCAGCGGCAGAAAGCAGGAGGAGCTGTGTGACTGACAGCCTGAAGATGAGTAGCAGAGGAAGCAGGCAAGAGACCTCAGGAGCACCTCCAGGAGGCTGTGTGAGGCTGGCATGGTCCAAAGCAGAGACACATGATTATTTCAGGTGCTGTCCTGTCCATTTATCAATTGACTCCTTGAAATACTTAAGTCATATATTCACTTTTGTTTGGGGAGTTAATAAAGGCATTTATGACCTTTTTACTTGAAAGTCTAGAGAAGGAATTGGTTGACTATAGTTCCTGTTTTTAAGTTTTTTAATAGTTGAAAAAAAAAGATCCAAAGAGGGCCATTTTGTACATGAAACACATTTTAGTGTCTGCAAACAGGTTTTTATTAGAACATAGCCACGTTGGTTTTGTTTACAGATTGTTCTGTTTGTTTTGAGGTGAAGGCAGAATTGAGCAGTTATAACCTAAAACACATACCACTCCATGCCTGAGATATTTACTATCTAGCCCTCTACTGAAAGGCTGCTGACCCCAGATCAAAGGGATGGGCACTGCTTTTTGTATGCTTCTTGAATATGTCAGCTGATTGAACTGGAGTACACATTTAACATAGTTAGTTTAAGATGGGGCGGGGGTGGGGCATGAGGGAATATTTTGGTTATGGTTTTCACAGCCTCAGATTACGTGTCTCAATTCAAATTTCAAGTAATTTTATAAATAAACACATATGGCATTTCTTTTTTTCCACTTTCCACAATAACTATGTGTAAACATAATTTCCTTTACCCTTACATCACTGGGAAGCAGCAATTATACATGCATTTAGTTATTTTTAACTATGAAATTAAATTTTAACAGATGAATAAAAACTGCCCATATTTTGGGGATACTATGTGGTGTTTCGATTTTTTTTTTACATTGTCAATATTTAAATCAGGGAAACCTACAAAATCCTTTCTCCTACTTTTTGAAATATAGAGTATATTGCACCATTATTTAGGTTCACTGTGCTTTATCTCAGAAGTTGTACACACACACACACACACACACATGCATGTACACACACTCATGACGGGTGGGTGGAAGCAAGGGTTTATCTGAAACCACAGATTCACAGCAAAGAAAACAGAGTAAAAGTGAAAAGCAGTCTGTGAGTATAACCAAGTATAATACACAAACATGAAAAACAGAGAAACAGGCCTCAGAAACACAACTTCCTACTACACGACACAGAAGCTCATGAGCTGTTGGACCTTAAGGAACAAAGCCTGGACGGACACCTTCTCCAGTAGCGGGGAGCTGGAGGAGGAAGCGAATCTCAAGAGTAAACTTAATTATCTGAGGGATAAATGACTTTCTCTGGAAGTCGTCATTACAAAATGGATCATTTCTTTCTGTCATCCAAAACTTAAGAATCTTATGCATAATATTCATAGCCCTTATTGCCTTATATTAACTCTTTTAATATTAATGCATTTCTATTCATTAAAAAATAGGAGAAAAAGAACAAAATCTTCAAATCACCTTTCAGAATTAGAGGCTAAATGATGAAGGGCTTGAGAGAACTTATAGCTCCCAGGCTAGGCCTTCTTTCCTTGCTCAAAAGAGATTACTCCCACCCCGAACCTTTCATCAAAAAGATATCAATAAATCATACAGTGCTCTCCTTGGACTGGCAGAGTTGCAGAAATGGATAAAAATATTTTTAGTACCTATTGTATTATTTTCTTATATAATATTTATATGAATGCTTTGAAAATACTTAAAGGATATAATCTTATAAACATATTAAGCTAATAGGTGTTCAATTCATGACATGAATACAAAACTAATTAAAATGATGAAATTCATAAGGCATATAGCGTATGTATAGACGAGTCTTCTGAAAGGCTTTAACACTAAAAAAAAAATCTTTCCTTTCAAAATGTGCTAGAACACAGAAGGCTAAATATACTTTTTAAAGGTCAGTGGAAGGGAAAGAATGGCAGTTGAGCTTTCCATGTTGACGTTCCTATGGAAAGAGTTGGCTTGGATGATGTAAGGAGATGGGACACTTCCCAGAGCCCAACAGCTACCACACAGAGCTGCTTTGCTCCACACAGAATGCCAGTGGCAGTGATGGGGTTTCCACGAATGTCTTCCACAAATAGCGCAGTATCCTAGAATTTATCTGAGGTATAAGAGTACAAATGCATTATTCCAAACTGCTTTGCCCTACAAATGATTTGGGAATAAAAACAGATTATGTGTTCTTTGCTCCTTCTGCCTAATCTACAAATACAAACATCAAACTTCTTGGACAAAATCCGAGAAAATGTCTTTTCAAAATAACATGAAGTTTGAACTTTAACATCAGATCATTGATTCTGGTTTCCTATATTAATCCAATGAAATAGTGAGGAAAAGTTATGATCCAGTTTCTCCTTTACCTTTCCTTTCTCTCTTTCCCTCTCCCTTTCTTTCTGGGAAAAAAAGAGAATATATGTAATACATACATATATAATGTGCGTATAATATGCACATATATGTATTATTATATGTATTATATAATCTATATAATATGCACACAATATATAATATACATATATTATTATTGGTATGTAATTATGTGTATATATGTATATATTATATACACATATCATATATTATAGACAGCTATATAGATAGAGATTACCAATACGTTTTGGGACTTTTGGTAAACATGAAGTCATCAGTATATAAAGAAAAATCAAAGGTCATCAGATAAAATCT